TTATTAGTGGGGGAGATGCACAAGCCGTGTCTGCATAAAGAAGTGAGGACATACTGAAGTGTCCCCCACTTACGTTAAGTGGGATCTGTGGATCAAACCCAGGCTGCCAGGGTTACCTGGCAGGCACCTTTCACAGCTGAACCGTCTCCCAGACTCGAATATTTTTACTTGAAGCCACTGTTGCACTGTTTTCAAAGTAGCTGAGAAGAAACTGCATTTGAAATGTCTCCACAAATTTGTCAACATTTGTTATTTTCTCCTTGGGAACAGTGTGTATAAGGAATCCTTACTTCTGGATGGAATGTCCATTTAGCTATTAGTATTTGAGGACATCTGCATGTGGGTTTATTAAGTACCATTCTCATGGTGAAAAATAATCTATTTGCACATGATCTCCTTCTTGAATTGTGTTGTTTGTCTTCTAAATGGATCCTTAAAACTCCAGGAAATGGTTCTAAATAAAAACCCACTTTTTTCATGAATACAGAATGATGTATCTTTCCCCTTAAATGAGCAGTGGGACTTTGTGTCTTCCAAGAAAAATTTTTATTTCATCCGTGTTATGAAATTTGTTGCCCTAAGTTGTTTATATTTTTCTTTGATTTTTGAATAACTATCAAAGCCAATTTATTTAACATCTGACAATAATTCGTGTCTTCCAATTTCCTTTCTCATATCAATCTAGCTACATACTTATCAAACATACTAATTTTCTCATAGATATTTTCTATTGCTTTCCTCTTTTCCATTTCTTTGGTTTCTACTTTATTTTCTCTTTTTGCTAAGTGCTATTTTTGCCAAAAGTTTGGATTTAATATGCTTTTTTGTTGTTTTAGAATGAAAACTGAACTCGCAGAATTCTGATTCTTCTCTTTTTCTTAAACAAATGCTAAGTGTTCTAAATGTGTAATTGGTCCCATCTTACTGCTTACAAATGTATTGTGCTCTAAATACTTTCTAATTGATGTTTTAATTTTTAGACCCCTGAATTGTATTTATGAGCCAACCTCAGTTCCCTCTCTCTTCCCTTCTCCTTCTCCCCCCACCTCCTCCACATCCCACCCCACATCAACTCCTCAGAGTAGGTAAGACCTCCCTTGGATGGTCAACAAAGTCTGGCATACCAAGTTGAAGCAAGAAGTAGCCCCTTCCCACTGCATCAAGGCTGAGCAAAGAATCCCACCATAGGGAATGGACTCCAAAAGCCAGTTCATGCACCTGATATAAGTCCTTCTCCCACTACCAGGAGCCCCACAAACAGATCAAGTCACAGAACTTTCACCCACATTCAGAGGGCCTAGTTCGGTCCCATGCAGGCTCCCCAGCTGTCAGTCCAGAGCCTGTGAGCTCCCACTAGCTCGGGTCAGCAGTCTCTGTGGTTTTTCCTATCATAACCTTGATACCTGCTTGTTCCTATAATCCCTCTTCCTTCTCTTCAACTGAACTCCTGGAGCTTGGCCAAGTGCTTGGCTGTGGGTCTCTGCATCTGCTTCCATCAGTCACTGAATGCAGGTTCTCTGATGACAATTAGAGTAGTCACCAATATGAGTACAGGGGAAGGCTAGTTCAGGCACCCTGTCCACCATTGCTAGGAATCTTAGCTGGGGATATCCTTTTGAGTTCCTGGGAATTTCCTAGTACCAGGTTTCTCCCTAACTCCATGCTGGTTCACTGGGTCAAGATATTTCTTTCATTGCTCTCCCTCTCCATCCCTCCCTAAACTCAGCCATCTCGAACCCTCATGTTCCCAACTCCATCCCTACTCCCCCACTCCCAGTTTACCCAGAAGACCTTGACCCTTTCCCCTTCCTGGGGTGATCCTTGCATATCCCTCTTCGTGTCCTCCTCTTTACCTAGCTTCTCTGGGGTTGTGGATTGTAGTCTGGTTATCCTCTGCTTTTCATCTAGTATCCACTAATGAGTAAGTACATACCATGTTTGTCTTTCTGGGTCTGAGTTAACTCACTCAGGATGATTTTTTTTCTAGTTAAATCCATTTGCCTGCAAATTTCATGATGTCATTTTTTTAACCACTGTGTAATACTCCATTGTGTAAATGGACCACATTTTCTTTATCCATTCTTTGGTTGAGGGGCATCTAAGTTGTTTCCAGTTTCTGGCAATTATGAATAATGCAGCCATGAACATAACTGAACAAGTATCCTTGTGGTATGATTGAGCATCCCTTGGGTATATGCCCAATAGTGATATTGCTAGGTCTTGAAGTAGGTTGATTCTCAATTTTCTGAGATAATGCCATACTGATTTCCAGAGTGGCTAAACAAGACTACACTCTCACCAGCAGTGGAGGAGTGTTCCCCTTACTGCACATCCCTTCCAACATAAACTGTCATCAGTGTTTTGATCTTAGCCATACTGACAGGTGTAAGAAGGTATTTCAGTGTTGTTTTGATTTGTATTTCCCTGATGGCTAAGGATGTTAAGCACTTCCTTAAATGTCTTTTGGCCATTTGAGATTATTCTGTTGAGTTCTCTGTTCATATCTGTACCCCATTTTGAATGGGATTATTTGCTATTTTGAGGTCTAGTTTCTTGAGTTCTTTATATATTTTGTAGATCAGCCTTCTGTCACATGTGGAGTTGGTAAAGACCTTTCCCATTCTATAGGCTGTTGTTTTGTCTTGTTGACCACATCCTTTCCCTTACAGAAGCTTCTCAGCTTCAGGAGGTCCCACTTATTAATTGTTGCTCTCAATGTCTGTACTATTGGTGTTATATTTAGGAATTGGTCTCCTGTGCGAATGCATTCAAGGCAACTTCTCATTTTCCCTTCTATCAGGTTCAGAGTAACTCGATTTATGTTGAGGTCTTTGATCCATTTGGACTTGAGTTTTGTGCATGGCAATAAATATGGATCTATTTGTATTTTTCTATATGTTGAGTTCCAATGTAGCTAGAGTTTTCCTGCCTGGCCCACAGTCAGGACAAATCTTTGTCACCCGCCAGTCCCATAGCTGCTCAGAGCCAACCAAGTAAACACAGAGACTTATATTGCTTACAAACTGTACGGCTGTGTGGCTTACCAGCATCTTCACATGCGGCTTGTCATGGCGGCTGCAGGCAGTGTCTCCCTCACTCAGCCTTCCACTTCCCAGAATTCTCCTCTCTCCTTGTCCTGCCTACTTCCTGCCTGGCCAATCAGTGTTTTATTTATTGACCAATCAGAGCAATTTGACATACAGACCATCCCACAGCATTCCAGTTATGCCACCACCATTTGTTGAAGATGCTTTCTGTTTTCCATTTTACAATTTTGGCTTCTTTGTCAAAAAGCAGGTGTTCATAGGTGTGCATATTAATGTCAGGTTCTTTAATTTGATTCTATTGATCCATGTGTCTGTTTTTATACCAATACCAAGTTGTTTTTATTACTATAGCTCTATAGTAGAGCTTGAAGTCAGGGATGGTGATGCCTTTAGAAGATCTTTATTGTATAGGATTGTTTTTGCTATCCTGGATTTTTTGTTTTTCCATATGAAGTTGAGCATTGTTCTTTTGAGATCTGTGAAGAATTGTGTTGGGATTTTAATGGGGATTACATTGCATCTGTAGATTACTTTTGATAAGATTGTCTTTTTTACTATGTTGATTATACCTATCCAAGAGCATGGAAGAGCTTTCTACTTTCTGATATCTTCTTCAGTTTCTTTCTTCAAAGACTCAAAGATCTTGTTATACAGGTCTTTCCCTTGTTTGATTAGAGTTACCCCCAAGATATTTTATGTTATTTGGGGCTATTTTAAAGGGTGATATTTCTCTAATTTCTTTCTCAGCCCATTTATCATTTGTATATAGGAGGTCTAATGATTTTTTATTTTAGTTAATCTTGTCTCCTGCCACATTACTGAAGGTGTTTATCAGATGTGGGAGTTCCTTTGTAATATTTTTTGGGTCACTTATGTATACAATCACATCATCTGCAAATAGCAAAAGTTTGACATATGCCTGTGCAATTTGTATCCCATTCATCTCCTTTTGTTGTCTTATTGCTCTAGCTAGACCTTCGAGTACTATATTGAATAGATTCAGAGAGAGTATGCAGCCTTGTCTTGTTCTTGATTTTAATGTAATCACTTTAAGTTTCTCTCCATTTAGTTTGATGTTGGCTGTTGGTTTGCTGTATATTGACTTTATTATGTTTACGTATGTTCCTGTATCCCTGATCTCTCCAAACCCTTTATCCTGAAGGGGTGTTAGATTTTGTCGAAGACCTTTTTCAGCATCTAGTAAGATGATCATGTGGGATTTTTACTTTCAGTTTGTTTATATGGTATATTACATTGACAGATTTTCGTATGTTGAGCCATCCCTGCATCTCTGGAATGAAGCCTACTTGATCATGGTGGATGATTTTTTTATGTGTTTTTAAATTTGGTTTGCCAGTATTTTATAAGTATTTTTGCATCCATGTTCATGAGGGAGATTGGTCTGTAATTCTCTCCTAGTTTTATCTTTGTGTGGTTTGGGTTATCCAGGTAATTGTAGCCTAGTAAAAAGAGTTTGGCAGTGTTCCTTCTGTTTCTATTGTTCAGAACAATTTGAAGAGTATTAGTATTTGCTCTTCTTTGAATTCTGGTAGAATTTTGCACTGAAACCATCTGGTCCTGGATTTTCTTTGGGTGGCAGGGTAGGAAACTTTTGATGACTGCTTCTATTTCCTTAGGGGTTATAGGTCTATTGAGATTGTTTATCTGATCTTGATTTAATTTTGATATCTGGTACCTATCCTGAAAAATTGTCCATTTCTTTAGATTTTCCAATTTTGTGGACTACAGGTTTTTGAAGCATGGCCTAATGATTTTCTGATTTTCCTCAGTGTCTGTTATTGTGTCCCCCTTTTCATTTCTGATTTTCTTAATTTCAATATTCTCTGTCTGCCTTTTGGTAGTTTGAATAAGGTTTTTGTCAATCTTGTTGGTTTTCTTGAGGAACTAACTCTTTGTTTCATTGATTCTTTGTTTCTATTTTATTGATTTCAGCCCACAATTTGATTATTTCCTGTCGTCTATTCCTCCTGGGTGAGTTTGCTTCTTTTGTTCTAGAACTTTTGGGTGTGCTGTTAAGACACTAGTGTGAGATTTCTCCACATTCTTTATGTAGGCACTTTGTGCTATGAACTTTTTTTTCTCTTAGCACTGCTTTCATGGTGTCCCATAAGTTTGAGTGTGTTGTGTATTCATTCAAGTTTGAGTATGTTGTGCATTCATTTTCATTGACTGAATTCTAGGAAGTCTTTAATTCCTTTCTTAATTCCTTCTTTATTGACCCAGTGATGATTCAGTTGAGCATTATTCAGTTTCCATGAGTTTGTAGGCTTTCTGCAATTTGTATTGCTGTTGCATTCTAACTTTAAGCCATGGTGATCTGATAAGATACACAGTACAGATAAAATACAATTTTTTTGTGTGTCTGTTAAGATTTGCCTTGTTACCAAGTATGTGGTCAAATTTAGAGATGTTTCCATTAGATGCTGAGAAGGTGTGTTCTTTTGTGTTAGAGTGAAATGTTCTATGGATGTCTGTTAGGTCCATTTGAGTCATAGCATCTGTTAGTTCCCTTATTTATTTGTTAAGTTTCTGTCTGGCAGACCTATCCAGTGGTGAGAATGGGGTGCTTAAGTCTTCCACTATTAGTGTGGGCGATTTTTTATGTGATTTAAGCTTTAGTAAAGTTTCTTTTACAAATATGGGTGCCCTTGTATTGGGGACATAAATTGTGACTTCATCTTGATGGATTTTTCCCGTGATGAATATGAATGTCCTTCTCCATCTTTTGATTAATTTTAATTTGAAGTCTATTTTGTTAGATATTAGGATAGCTATACCAGCTTTTTTCTTAGGTCCATTTGATTGGAAAATCTTTTCCCAAACTATTACTCTTAGGTAATTTCTGTCTTTGAGGTTGAGGTGTGTTTCTTATGTACAACAGAAGAACAGCTCCTCTTTTTTGTATCCATTCTGTTAGACTGTGACTTTTTATAGGAAAATTGAGTCCAATGATATTAAGAGATATTAATAACCAGGGATTGTTAATTTTTGTCATTTTTACTTGTGTTGTTGTCGATGGTAGTGTGTGTGTGTGTGTGTGTGTGTGTGTGTGTGTGTGTGTGTGTGTGTGTTTCCCTTCTTTTGGATTTGTTGGTATTAGGTTATCTATTGCCTGTGTTTTTGTGAGTTGGAGTTTTCCTTCTAGTACTTTCCGTATGGTTGGATTTGTGGATATATATTGTTTAAATCTGGCTTTGTCATGGAATATCTTGTTTTCTCCATTTATCGTGATTAGGAACTTTGGTGGCTATCATAGTCTATGCTTGCATCAGTGGTCTCTTGGTGTCTGCAGAATGCTGCCCAGGACTTCTGGCTTTCAGAGTTTCCACTGAGAAGTCAGGTGTAATTCTAGTAGGTCTGACTTTATGTTTTACTTGACCTTTTTTCTTTGCAGCTCTTAATATTCTTTCTTTATTCTGTATGTTTAGTGTTTTGATTATTATGTGGCAAGAGGACTTTTTTTTGGTCAAGTTTATTTGGTGTTCTGTAATCTTGCACGTTCATACACATGCCTTCCTTTCAGTTTGGAAAGTTTTCTTCTATGATTTTATTGAATATATCTTCTGTGCCTTTGAGCTGGAATTGTTCTTCTTCTATCCCTATTATTCTTAGATTTGATCTTTTCATGGTGTGAAGATTTCATGGGTATTTTGTGTTAAATATTTGCTGGCTTTAACGTTATCTTTGACCAATGAATCTCTTTCCTGTATCGTATCTTCAACACCTGAGATTCTGTCTTCTCTCTCTTGTATTCTCTTGGTTATACTTGTCTCTTTACTTCCTGTTTATTTACTCAGATTTTCCTTTTCTAGAATTCCCTAGGTTTGTGTTTTCATTATAACCTCTATATCAATTTTCAAGTCTTGAACTGTTTCCTTCACCTGTTTGTTTTTTCTTGGCTTTCTTTAAGGGATTTATTGATTTCTTCCAATTTTTTGTTTGTCTTTTCCTCCATTTCTTTAAGGGAATTTTTATTTCCTCTTTAAGGGCCTCTATCATCTTTATAAAGTTATTTTTAACATTGTTTTCTTCTGGTTCATCTGCATTGGGATGTTCCAGTTTTGCTATTGTAGAACTACTAGTTTCTGGTCATATTGCTCTTTATGTTGTTGAATATATTCTTTCACTGCCTTCTACCCATTTCTTCCTCCAATCCATACAGGTGGAGCCTGTGCCTCCAGGAGTCCCTCTTCCTCCAATTGGTACAAGGAGAGTTGAAGTACTGCCTGGTTGATATACTGACACCCTGACTCAGAGCTCTTACACACACACACACACACACACACACACACACACACACACACACACACAACATCAGTTCACACCACACAGAAAGCAACAAACAGAAATTAGAAGTGAAGGTGAATATTAAATGTTATTTTTGTTTGTTTGTTTGTTTTGGCTTTCTGAGGCAGGTTTTCTATGTATAGCCCTGGCTGTCCTGGGACTAGCTCTGTAGACCACGGTTGGCATGAAATTCACAGAGGTCTGCCTGCCTCTGCCTTCTAAGTGCTAGTATTAAAGGCATGTGCTACCCACCACCTGGATTGAATATTAAATGTTAAAATCAAAATAAAAGTAGCCCTATACTCTACCATCCCACTGTCCATGTGGATTGATACCATTAAAGTAACCAGTACCACCAAAGTGGCACTACAAATTGAAAACATATTGAAAGCAACCAGATGGGAGAGATATGGTGTTCTCATTACTGAATTTCAATAACAGACCACAAACAAAATGCAGATACAAGCGGGGGGGGGGGGGAGTTCCAGAAGTTCTGAGTATGCAGAAATTAAGTGAAGTGTCCAGAAATACATTTTTAATTTTGAGATGTCTTTATTTCATATCTGAAACAAGTGACTAGTAATTAAAATATTTTAGAATTTATCACATAGCTTTTTCAAGTTTTCAGATATTACATTTAAATTCTTCCTCAATTAGATCCACTGAGTATCAACATGGGCTTTAAAGACAGGTGGAGGGTAGACAACTAAGGAGGTTTTTTTTTACTGTTAAAGATGTGTTGCATTTAGCTACACTACCTCATTCTTATACTTACCTGGGAGAACTGAAGATAAAAGTATTCATGGATTCTAAAAATGTGAAAATACATTATTAAATAATCAAATACTTTATGTAGAAAAACTGAGAGGTTAGATTATTTTAGAATTCCTTTTTCTTTTGAATCTGTAAAAGATATTATGTGGACATATTGTGAACAAAAGGGAGATGAAGATATAGAAATAAACTATGATAAATAACCAGCAAACTAAAAACCTGCAAATACATTTTTGTAAGATTTTTTTCAATTATTTAAGTCATATCTATAGGAACTCAGGTTACTGTTCTCAACAGTATCAATATTCCCTAAATATTTCCACAAACAGCTTCACCAGATATATCATCTCTTGCCCTGTTCTATAGACTGGTGAAGACGGATTTGAGCTCTTTAAAATTGTTTTCTGAACATTTTGAAATATTAAAAATAATTAGATACTATTCAAGATTCTAAGAAGTATAAGAATATTACCATACTCATGATTATAAGTGAAAAGTAAAGCTTAAACTTTAAATTTACATGTATGCATGTCTTAACACAATTTATAAAATGTAATGAAGCAATCATTTCATACACAAGAGAAAAACCACAAGCTGATTTGTTGGTTCTAAGAGAAATAATTAATTAAGATTTTACATTTTAATGTAGAAGACATGTTATTTTCCAACATTTTCATTCATAAATAGATAAAAACATATTAGTTTGTGTAACTATCTCCCTGAGCTTTGTATCAGTTGGACTGTTGAAAGAATAATTGGCCTAGTGAAATGTTTAATTAAAAATACGTCTCACCCTGTATAAATTTATAAACAGTTTCTTCAATAAATTCTGAATTATTCCTTTCACCGTAGGTTCTTTCCTAGGCATCAGAAGTAATTATGTATTAATGGACACAGTTTTGAATTCTATTTAATTACACTAAAACCTCACATCTAAAATTCAAGCAGTAGAAACTGTTTCCTTCTTAAAATGATTTAGGCAACAAAGTGTCAAGAGGGCATTGTATTTGGAAATTACTGGCTCTTCAATAAATGATGTTGGAAAAACCAAATGTCCACATGACAATGAAGCTGTAAACTTTCTTTAAACCATTTGCAAATTTCAAAGTAAAACACTGAAATATGCAGCAACAAGAAAAGAAACTAAGTATAGCACTACAGTAGCAATCCTAGCAACACAATTCTAGAGTAATCCTATCACCTTAAAAAGTTATAATAATCTTAGGGTTAATACTCAGAGTTCCAAAATCCACCTATAGGCAACCACCAATCTGTTTCTCTTATTTAAAATTTCAATTTGCTCATATAAAGTTACTACAAAGTATTTAGATTGTGTTAGCACCTTTAGGATCTGTTGCAATAGCCCTTTGTTGATTACTGATATTTATTATGTATTGCTTTTTACCTTTTTGTGACCAAGTTTACCAGAAATTGTTAAATTTTATTAGTTGATATAATAATCTACTTCTAGCATTGTTGATAATACATCACAATAATTGCATTCTATTGCATTACCACCTACCCTTTTCTTCATCTTTAACTGACTATCTACATTTTCAGAGTTGTATTTTGGTTCTATTTTTTTGTTCTACTTATTTTCTAACTTCTGAACTGAGATTTTTTATCAGTAACTTTTTTAGTTTTTCTTCACTTTTAATATAATCATTTGAGACCATCAATCTCACTGAAAGTACTAATTTCATATAGTTTCATAAGATTTGAGAATAACAACATTTAACTAGTGTTCAGTTTGAAATATTTCACAATTTCCCATTATCATTTCTAAGCTTTCTCATGGCCCATTTTAAAATGAACCTGTTCACTTTTAAATATAATAACTTCCATAGTCAAATTCTGCTGTTGAAAGATTTATTGCACTCTGGTCAGATAAAAACTCTATGATTTCACTG